AACATACTCGGTGGAGGGGATTTTGAAATGATATAGTCTCTTGAATGGAAAGATAACCAACCGGAGGGAGGCCAGCAACAACTATATAACGACATCCAAGTTGGTAAATTTCCAGTCAATTTTCAATCATAATTATGTTTAAAAATAATAATATGGAAAACAAGCCACATACTAGAAAGTTTTTAATGTTAAGATAATTTACTTCGATCAAGCTTTGTAGTCTATTCTGTATAAAACCTTGGTAACCGCTAATATTGTATTGTAGTTGTCTTGTCAGAAGGTCGTAGAAATTAATGCTGAGTCATTAGTTCCTGCAATAATAACAACCAAAGCATTACCAATAATCCTTCTACTTTCTTCCACACCCACAATCCCTTGAAGCCTTTGAATGTAGTTTTTGAAAAGATCAATTTGCTTCATCACATGAATGACATTGGATATCATAGAAGTCAAATCGTCAAACCCCAAGCCAGCTGACGCAAAACTAACACCTGTTTTGACATCATCATCTGAAAGTTTTGGATCCAAAAATGAAGGAACAAGTTCTTTTATGCCTAACTTAGAAGTTATCATATCAGGGATGAGTTTTACATCACTAAACCTTCCCGTAGCAACATGATCCAGAAAATCTTTGTCGTATGGTGCATAATTAGCCTTAAAAATAGTGTGAATGAAGTTGTTATTTCCGGTATCAATCACCAAATATAAGAATAGCTGGAAAAGATGAAAAAGTTTTAGGAGCTAAAGCACGGCATGGTTTGCTAAGAAATAACAACCAAATTATGAGAGCTATAGAACAACAATGAAGTAATTGTTAGGATTAGATTTGATTAAGTTATTTGGATTAGATTTGATTTACTTATTTGGATTAGATTTGATTTAGTCATACCAAATTTAGTTCTATCCATTTGATTTTGTAATGCTATATAATAGCGAATTTCATTTTCAATAATATGAGAGATTTCTCCCAATTCTTCTAATGTTTCTAGTTTTCTCTCTGTTACTTACATTTGGTATCAGAGTCATGCCCTAAACTAGTTAAAACTAGTTAAAACTAGAAGCAGTAGTCTTCTACGTGTGTCATGATAAAACTATGTCGATGGAGAGTCCGTTTGTGCAGCCTGCAATTCCGAAATTTGATTGGTACTATGATTCATTGGGCGATACTCATGGAAAACCTTTTGCGTTCCCAGGAGTACTGAGATTTGGTGGAGAATGGGATTTCTGCAGCAACAGAAGACATCGTTTTCACGGATGCCCAGAAGAAGCACATTGAAGATCAGAAGTTGAAAGGTTTGAAAGTAAAGAATTATCTATTTCAAGCATTAGATTGTTCGATCTTGGAGACAATCCTCAACAAGGATACAACAAAGAACATTTGGGATTCTATGAAGCAGAAATATCAAGGTTTGACACGGGTAAAACGTGCACATTTGCAAGCTCTTCGGAAGGAGTTTGAAATGCTTCACATGAAAGCAGGAGAATCTGTAAATGAGTATTTTGCTCGAACCCTTAGCATAGCCAACAAGATGAAAATAAATGGTGAGAATAAAAAGATGTTGAAGTAGTTGAAAAGATTATGAGATCTCTCACTCCTAAGTTTGATTATATTGTGTGTTCTATTGAGGAGTCTAACGATACATCCATCTTAACTATTGATGAGTTGCAAAGTAGTCTGCTTGTGCATGAACAAACCATGAGTTCTCATGTTGAAGAAGAACACGCTTTGAAGATCACTCATGGTGACCAATCTGGAGGAAGGAGTCAAGGTTGTGAAAGCTTTAGAGGCAGAGGAAGGGGACGAGGCAGACAAACCTTCAACAAGGCCACAGTGGAGTTCTATAATTGCCACAGGCTAGGACATTTTCAATGGGAATGTCAAAGCAAGGAGAAGGAGGCAAACTATGCAGAGACTCAAGAAGAGATGTTGCTGATGGCTTACGTGAATATGAATAAGACCAATAGAGAAGATACGTGGTTTCTTGACTCGGGATGTAGCAATCATATGTGTGGGAAGAAGGAATATTTTTCAGATTTTGATGGAAGTTTCAGAGAATTAGTGAAGCTGGGCAACAACTCAAGCATGGATGTAACAGGAAAGGGTAATGTACGGCTACAGGTGAATGGAATCATACTGATAATCACAAGAGTGTTCTATGTGCCAAAGCTGAAGAACAATCTGCTGAGTATTGAGAAATTGCAAGCAAAGAGGCTTAGCATTCTTAGCATTTTGTTTCAAAATGGAACATGCAAGGTGTTTTATCTTGAGAGAGGCTTAATCATGGAGACAAAGATGTCTTTGAATCGAATGTTCGTACTGCATGCTATATCTCAGCTACATGCTATATCTCAGCCTGTAGCAGCCATTCAAACTCAATTGAAACTTATGGGAAGAAGTGGTTCAAGGTCTCTGTCGTACACTCATCGCTCCAATTCCTATCGGCATAATCAGATAAGTAGAAGGGTCTCAAGTCCTTCCCCCTATCATTCCACTACTCGTTCTAGGAGAAGCAGCTGTTCAAGTTCCATCAGCCGTTGACGCAGAAGTAGGTCTTCCTCATTATCTCCTTTCTCCAAATCGTACAGTTCCAGTCCTAGTCGTGCATCCATTGATCAGAAACATTCCATAGAGAAGCTTAAGAAAGAGGAAGAAGAGAAGAAAAGGCGTGAAGCGGAGTTGAAGAAGTTAGAAGAAGATGCAGCTAGGAGGATGGAAGAACTAATTCATAAGAATGTTGAAGAAAGGCTAAACTATGAAGAGACTAAATTAGAAACATAGAGGCGAATAGAGGAAGGTCACAAGAAGTTGTTTGATGATGTTGATGTGCAGCTTGAGAAAGAGAAAGAAGCCGCTCTTACTACTACAAGACAAAAAGAAGAACAAGCACGGAAAGAGAGAGAAGAGCTAGATAAAATTCTGGAAGAGAATAGAAGAAGAGTAGAAAAAGCTCAGCGACGATTAGCTCTGGAGCTGCAGCGGAAGGAAGAAGAACAATATTGGGAGCTCGAGTTGATTCAGAGACAAAAAGAGGAGGCAGCTCGGAGAACTAAGCTAGATGATAAGAGTTTGAGTTATGTTTTGCTGGGAGTTAGTGAAGAGTCAAAAGGTTACAGATGGGAGTTAGTGAGAGTCAAAAGGTTACCGACTCTATGATATAGAAGTAGCAGATGAAAATACTGCAGAAAATATTTCCTCGGGCTCTTTGGCTGAAGCAAGCCTCCTAGCTCGAATAAGGTGATGAATAAGAGACCACCAGTCTCGATGAGAGACTATGCAATAGGAGAAGATTTTTGTGAAGAAGATGAAGCAATTTGGATAAGAGACTATGCAATAGGAGAAGTTTTTTTGTAAAGAAATGATGAAGCTCACTCAACCATGTTTACTACTACTGAACCTGTAAACTTGATGACACATTGATTTAAAGATGCATTGAAGAGTGAGAAATGGGGGCAAGCCATGGATCTGTTGAAGAGTGAGAAATGGAGGCAAGCCATGTATCTGGACCAATAAACATAAATAGCACATGTGAATTGATGAAGTTAACACATGTGATTAGATTTGATTTAGTTATTAAGATTAGATTTGATTTAGTTATTTGAATTAGATTTGATTTAGTTATTTGAATTATTTAGTCCTACCAAATTTAAATTTGATTCTGTAACGCTACATAATTCAATTTCATTCTTCAATAGTACGAGAGATTTCTCCCAATTCTTCTAATGTTTCTAGTTTTATCTCTCTGTTTTAATTAGCTCATGCCATTCTTGTTTGTGATATCATCTTCTTTAATTAGTTGATGTATGTATGAGTGGAAGGATAGAATAGTGACATCATTATGGTTTTTGTATAGTTTAAGGAAAGAAATTCTTTAAACCAAGAAGAATGTTTTGTTTTTGAATTATTGTATACAACAAAATAACGGTCGAATTCCACGATTTATGCCTTTATTACCTTAAGAAAAGTCAGCTATTTGAACATAATAAAGTTAATTTTTGCTGAAGTAATTACGGTTTATCCAAATTAATCCTTTTTAAACACCTCTAAGTAATAATTAGCTAAATCAATTAACTATGTAACGGACCTAAGGAGATAATATCTAGTAGTGACTTCAAGCAACCATAAATAGTATGTGAGCCAAAGACCTTATCTCCAAAGCTGTTATAAATGGTATGTGAGCAAGACATAAATGACATTATCAACTAACAAACTACTATCTTCTAGCGGTGGATTTGGAGAAGAATATTACAACTACATTAAAAAAAAATGTCCAAAACACAACCATGAATCTTTTATCCATTCCCGAGTCAACCCAACCCAAAAATTTTATGGTTTTGGGTTCGGTATTTAATAAGAAATGTTTAAATTGAAAATTAATTTTTCTTCTAAAAAATATATTAAAAAATTCACATTGTCATGTTGTTGAATAATACAGTAAATTATGATTATTTTATTTAGAAAATAGTTTTTAGATCTCGCATTGAATATCCTACTACCATATGGTAATTTGTAATACATAATGATTTTTATATACCATCAAATGTATATATAGTTAATAACGACTTGTTTTGTAAGCACCATTTCTAATTTAAATTGAAATGTGTAATAGTTTAATACCATACATATTTCTTTTTTATATTAGAAAAGAATATGTCTGTCTCCAAATATTTATTATATTTATTATTTCGTACGTGTACAATTTTATTTTTTTTAAATTATAGGATCAAATATAAAAATATTTTACTCTATCTTCATAAATTTGATTAAGAGTACTTGTCATTCTCAAATAAATAAATAAAAATAAAACGAGATTTTGCTTAGAAATACACTATTTGTGTCCATTTGATGGCGAGAAGTTACATTTACAGATTATAGTCTTCGTTAATTAAACTACTGGAAAAAAAGTATTGCGAAAGTAGTCTAGACAAGTTTCATTTTAAAATCAGCTTACAGTGAAGCCTTAGGCTTAGAACCTGAAACTATTAAATTTTGATTTAGGTGATTAAAGAAATTGCTTGAGAAATAATTCAGTCATGAATTTGTAAGCTGCTTCGGTCGGATGGACGCTATCCCAAAACAGGTATTTTGATGAATCTTCACATGTTGGGGTTAATGCATTACATAGAGGCGCTACTTCTGCCAATCCAGTTCCACAACAACCTGTGTTTGTATGCTCAAAACCTGTGCGACCAAAAGCCGCAAGCAAAACTTAGTGGAAAATGATTCTCAGAACTTGATTTATCTAAAATATTTACGACGTTAGATCATATAAGTTGATAAAGGTTTCTATTTTGATGGGCACCGACTTACCATACTTGTGAGGATTATTGACCATGTCGATGAGAGGGGTGTAAATGTCAGCGTACAATATTGTGCTTCCATGTAGTTGCGATGGCAGATTGCCCAACAACTTTGAAAGCTTCTGATTATAGGATATGGAGTCCGAGTTTTGATCTTCCAAACATATTCGCGTTAAAGGAAGTTGAGACGATATAGTCTCTTGAATGGGAAGGCAACCAATAGGAGGTAGGCCAGCAACCACTATATTGCGACATCCAAGCTCGTAAATTTCCTGTTTAGTATGTTTGAGTTCATAAGCTTATGTGAATGAATTTGGATTATTATGCGATCAAATATTGATGAGGGTTAATAGTGTGCATATGGTTTAATTTACCTTGATGAAGCTTTGTAGTCTATCTTGGATAAAATCTTGGTAACCGCTAATATTGTATTGTAGTTTCCTTACCGGAAGGTCGTAGAAATTTTTGGTAAAGTCATTAGTTCCTGCACTAAGAATAACTAAAGCACTACCAATAATTTTCTTACTTTCATCTACACCTACAATCTCGGTAAGTCTTTGAATATAGTTCTTGAACATATCAACTTGCATCATCATTGGAATAACTTTGTATATCATAGTAGTTAGATCATCAAACCCTGAGCCAGCTGATGCAAAACTAACT